CTAACCAAATCAAAGGCCTTTGTGAGATCTATGAAGGCCACAAAGAATGGCTGTTGTTGTTCCCTACATTTCTCCTGCAACTGTCTGAGGAAGAATACCATGTCAGAGGGGGATCTATTCGCTCAAAATCCACACTATGATTCTGGATAGACTCTGTGTGCAAGGACCTGGAGTCTCTCTAGCACAAGACGGGCAAGCAGCTTCTCTACAACGCTGAGAAGAGAGATGCCATGGTAGTTATTGCAGTCACCCCGTCTCCTTTGTTCTTACACAGTGTGACGATGTTTGCTTCATTTTTGAATTTTTGTTGTGCTCTGTGAAACATTTTGTGTGTCTCTTTGTATTGTACTTTTTTAGCGTGCACTCCAGTTCAATATTATATTTTGGTTTCTTGGTTTCAATTTTTTGTTGCTGTGCTCTTCGTGTAAACTTTTTGTGTAGATATCTATATATCTATATATTGTCACTCTGATTTTTGTTGCTTTCCTTCTGTAAAAATTTTGTGTCTTTTTAACCCTTTTTATAGTGTGCATGAATATATTTTCCTTGATTCTTAATTTAATTTCAGAGTTTTCATCTTGAAATTTTTAGTTCCTGCATTGCGGTTTGTTTTTATGCCCTTTTTATATTTCTTTTTGCGTCTTAAAATTCACTTGTAACTAAATCATTAAATGTTATCTGTTTTTCTCGGGCATTTCATTTTCTTGCAATTGAATTTTATTTTCAGGGGTCATTGGATTTAAGTGCCTTAAATAAATAAATAAATATATAAATAAATAAAATAAAATAAATAAATAAATAAGATATCACCGCAGGGAGGGGGGCAATGATAACTTCCTCAATGGCTCAAGGGGACGTTTCTTTCAAAAAGGTTAAGAAACACTGTGCTAGATCTCTAACAGAAGAATCAATCAGTGAAACCAAACTGTGTGTCATAGTACTCAGAGTAGCAATACTGTACTAGAACAGTGGTTCTTCACCTTTGTTACTCAGATGTTTTTGGACTGCAACTCCCAGAAGCCTTCACCATCAGCTGTGCTGGCTGGGGTTTCTGGGAGTTGCAGTTCAAAAACACCTGAGTAACAAAGGTTAAGAACCACTGTACTAGATAAAAGAAGCTCCTTTTACAAATGCACCATGTGCAATAATTGCTGAAGCAGATCAGACCTTCATAATATACCTTGTTGCAAAGCCCGGTCCTCCAGGGTAAGTGTTGCGGCTGTACATCCCAGGCTGCACATAGCTCTTGTTAGTGGAACCTTCAGGGAAAGGTTGCTGTCCCATAAACTGAGGTGAATTCATTCCAGAGCCACTGCTGGCTACACTGGGCATCATGGGATTGCCAGAAGTGTTTCCCCCAGGGCCCATGGGGTTTCCAAAAACCTGCAAAGGGAACAGCCAAAGAGAGGAAGTGGAAAAAAGCAAGAAAGCATCATGGAAGGCTGTGAATTTTTAGCGTATCTACACTACACAGGTACAGCAGTTTGATATCACTGTAATTGGCACAGCTCTATCCTACAGAACTCTGGGTATTTGATTATACTTATTATCCTGGGTATTTGATTATACCTCCAACAGATTATACCCCTTATGATATCCTACAGAATCCAGAATTTGATGATACGTATAATTCTTTGCTAGAGTTTGAATGTACTTCCTGTAGTCTGTATTATGTAGAACTATTCTGTTTACCAGATGATTCCTCACTATCTCACCAAATCATACCACATATTACAAAATTCTGTAGAATGATGCCTATGCAGTGCAGACACATTTCCATGATGTAATTATTCAACTACATAGATACAGATATATTCTGTAGATACTGTAATGGAGTTGGTGTTAGACCAAATCAGTGGTGGACAGATGCCCTGTTGCAACTCCCAATCTATAAAAAGGAAACCTACAGAAACTGTATTGCGACTTTTAAAAACCACACTTCCCTACTCTCTTGCTGTTAATATAGCAGGGTAAAGCCAACCAATGCTGGTAAAAGTTTCATTTGTTACATTTCTGTTTACAGTACTAAGTCCATTTTTTCCCAAAGTGGTCATGGTAAGTGGAATAAGGCAAAAGACTGTGCAGAAGCCTGAGCAGAAAGCGAGAGAGAGGATGAAGCAAGTATCAGCAGGATAGTACACAGCTCAGTACTGACTTGGTATTTGGCTGTGAAGCCAGATGTTAGGAGTATGATTCCTCACTGTGCCTCCTGGAAAAGGAGCCAGACTGTGCCATGAACAAGTTGCACAATCTCCGGATGCCCCAGAAGAAGGGAATGGTAAACAACGTCTGTGTATTCAATAGCTAGAAAACCCTGAAAAAGGGCTCGCTATAAGTCAGAATTGACCTGGACACTATTATTATTTTACATAAAGACCAACTGAGACGAAGATTACACCTTTATGTCTTCCATGTCATCTAGAAGAATGACAAATATAAGTAAACCAAGACAGATATCTTAATGCATTCAGGTTGTAGTTGGGTGCTCTGCTGTTAACATAATTTTAAATATTTATCCATTGTAAACTAACATATAAAAGCTAAAATGTTTTAAAAGAGTATTCAAATTGCCAAGATTTAAACTGAAAAGGAGACTATAAGAATATTCTAAATCCAACATAAGCATCTCCTTCTAGTTTGCTAGATAAAAGGTTTTAATTGGAGAAGGAACTAGGAGTGTAATTAAGAATAATCACAAAAGGCTTTCATGGCCGGGAGCTAATGGCTGTTGTGGGTTTTTCGGGCTGTTCAGAACACAGCCAAAGAGCCCGAAAAAACCACAACAACCAATAATCACAAAACCCTGCCCCACTGACGAATTCCTACATCTTGCAAGCAGATTGTGAGAAAGGTGGCTAGGGTTAAGACACCTGGTACCTCAATTTTGTTTAAAACCAGCCCAGCCAACTTGCTGTTGGACTCTAACTTTTAGCAGCCCTAGCCAACCTATGATGCTCACTAATCAGAATTGCAGGGTGGCCATATATGACCCCACCCCTATGTTAAACATAGCACACAATGTAATCCCAAACATGTCTATTTATATGCAAGTCCAACTGAGTTCAACAGAGTTTTGTTCTTGTTTTATGTGCCATCGTCACTTTCAACTTAAGGAAACCCTATGAAGTAAGCACCTCCAAAAGGTCTTGTTGTTAACTTAGCTCTTGCAAAGTGATGTCCTTTACTGAATTCATCTGCCTCTTATCTGGTTTTCCTCTTCTCTTGTTGCCTTCAACTTTTCTTAGCATTGTTATCTCTTCCAGAAAGTCTTATCTTCTCATGATGTGTCCCAAGAATGAGGGCCCAGTCATTTTTGCTTCTAAGGACTGGTATGTTTTGATTGGATTTAGAACCCACTTATCTGACTTACTGGCAGTCTATGGTATACAGTATGTAAAGCTCTTCACCAATATCACATTTCAAGGGAAGAGATTATTTTCCCCCATCAGCTTTCTTTACTGTTCAGTTTCCATATCCATACATAATGATCACGAATATCTGCCATACATAGTACAGAGGTCTTTATAGGACCTTTGCATTCGACATCGAAGGCTGGCTATGAAGAATCCAGTGATATATCCTTGCACAAGATTCTTCATAAGTGCCCTTCTGAATCTAATACAATTGTCCTATAGCAGTGATGGCGAACCTGTGGCATGGGAAGCCCTTTCTTCTGGCACGCAACAAACCTTTTGAAGTGGCTGCAGCTGGGATTCCCCCCTTCTCTTCCTGTTCTGGGTCCTTTAACTTCATGTCCATCCCCATGATTCCCCCTTTAACTTCCTGTCCGCCCCCATGATTCTCCCTGGAACTGCCACTTCCTGTTCCGGCTCTGGTTGGCACAGCAGCCACTGCTTTCTTCCCCACCCCCTCATTTTGCGCACTTGAGCTGAAAAAGGTTTGCCTCCACTGTCCTATAGAGACATCAGTCTTCTTCAGATCTCTTAAATGAAGCCTCCATTTGGACTGATGATGAAACAATGGTACATAAAATCCTAATTTTTTATTTATTTATTTATTTATTTATTAGATTTCTGTCCCGCCCTTTTAGACAAAGTCTACTCTGTGCGGGTTCCATTAAACATTGTAAAACTAAAACAGTTAAAAACAATTCAAAACAATAGTGATTAGTAATGCTTAGTAATACTCAAGATGGGAAAACAGAAAATTATAATAAAAATAAAGTCAAGTATTGACAGAAGGGAAGGCCTACCTAAGAGCCAAGTTTTTAATTGGCTCTTAAAAACATCCAGTGAGGGAGGCAGGCGTATCACTGATGGGAGGTTATTCCAGAGCCGAGGGGCCACTGCTGAGAAGGCCCGGTTTCTTGTTCTTTCTTTCCAGGCCTCTCTCGGTATTAGGCCCCTCAACCATCCCTCCTGGCTATGGCGAGTGATTCAGGTAGATCTAGGTGAGAGAAGGCGATCTGCCAGGTATCGAGGTCCTAAACCGTTTAGGGCTTTATACGTCATCATCAACACTTCAACGTCAATGCGGAAGCGAAAGGCAGCCAATGCAAGGCAGACAGAGTGGGAGAGATATGCTGCTGTTTTCTCACCCCACTAAGGAGTCTGGCCGCCACATTCTGCACCATTTGTAGCTTCCGCATCAATCTCAAAGGTAGCCCCACGTAAAGCTCATTACAGTGGTCTAATCTAGAGATTACAAGTGCATGGATGAGAGTGGTGAGGGCCCCGCCATCAAGATAGGGCTGCAGCTGGGCAATCCGCCACAGATGGAAATAGGCGGAGTGGGCCATGGATGCCACTGGGTTTCCATGGTAAGCATCGGGTCCATATGGATCCCCAAGCTGCACACCACACTCTTTGCAGTGAGAGTCACACACCCCCAAAAGAGAGGGAGTTTCCCAAACCACCAATGGAGGGGCCGCCCACCCTCAAGACCTCTGTCTTGTCCGGGTTCAACCTCAACCCATTCAGCTGCATCCATTGCAGCACAGCCTCCAGACAGCGCTGAAGGGACAGAACGCCACCCACTGAGGTAGGTAAAAAGGAGATGTACAGTAGAGCTGGGTATCATCAGCGTACTGATGGCATGAAGCCCCACACCTCCTGATGACCCCACCCAGCGGCCACATATAAATGTTAAACAGCATTGGGGAGATGATCGACCCCTGCGGAAAACATTCAACATCTTCACTGCCAATATCAGAACTATGAAATTCTTCTGTAGACAGGATTTTTATCTTCAAAAATGTTGTATTCAACCTCATTCTGTTTTTAAACGTTCTTCTTTCACCTTCATCAGGAATCTTTTTATGTTATTAGATAGGGAGGGGTAAAATGCATATTTCTAATATGATCCTTACTGCCTCTTCCAGTTCTCAATCCAGTGTGAACATCAGGTATTTCTTGCTTCATATGTGGAAAAACCTTTGTTGCAAAACTTGATTATCATTCTATTTGCATTGCAAATTAATGCAATGCTCCTACCATTATAACACTCTTCGGTGTTTCCTTTATTGGGCACTGGAAAATATAGTGAACATGTCCATTGTGAATTAGAATGAATATTGAGCATGCCCAGATATTTTGTCTTCCATATTTGTTATCATGTTCTTATTAGGATTTTGACAGATTCCATTTCTATAACTTGATATAGCATACCATTTATTCCTGGTGTTTTATTTCTTCCAAGTTCTTTGATGGCAACTTTCACTTTGCTTTCTAAAATTGCAGTTTTTTTAGTCACAGGATCTTTCTTCAAAGAAACCTATCATTCTTGCATCTAGCTCTTTAGCATATAGTTTCCATTTTCTCTTTATTTTGTCCTAGTCAAATGCCTAGCTTAGGCTTTAATTTCCTTTTATTTTATTTTTTATTTTTTTGGATTTTATGGAAGAGATGTCTTTTTTTTTCTCTCTTCCATTATTCGATTCTATTTCCCTCCACTGATTATGGTAACAGTTCTTTGTATTTATGTGTAAGTTGCTGAAAAGTTGCATTCATGAATCTTACTCTATTTCTGTTGTCTTTTATTATGCTTCTCATCTCTCCTTATTGTAAGGGCTTCATCACTCATACACCTAGGCTCTTCTCTTATTCTGAGTAAAGAAATTGCCTTTCTTCCCTGACAATATATCTGGTATCAACCCACAGTTCTTCTCATCAATTAGTAATGCAAAATGATTATTTTTATGGGCTTCAGATTCATCAAAAATGTTACTTACATTATATTTTGGCACAATGATTCTTCTAATTTTATTCTTCAGCTTTATTCTAATTTTTTGCTATTAACAACACAATCTGAGAATGGTACTGGAACTCAGAAGACCAAGTTGAAAACCCTGCATCACCATGGAAATTTTGGGAGATGTGTGCCACTTTTAAAATCGCTCCTTAAATATCTCACATATCTTGATAACCTAATTGGGTTGTTATAAGTTGAACAAGATGTGATGGCACACAATGTAACATAACCACAATCTACTCCTGACCTTATTTTTCTAAAATAATACAGCTTCTCCATCTACTACTACCAATTATGCAATTAATTTGACTTTTACACTGATCAACTGGTAATGTCCATGTGTATTTGACATAAACAAGTTTTGGCTTCACAGAATTGTATCAGTTACTCCCCTGCTTCATTTCTGACTACTAAGTCAAATTCTCCAACAATGTTTGGTTTGACTTTGTTTTCTACTTTTATATTTCAGTCATCAATGAGCACATTATGTTTTGGTGTATGATCAATTTATTCCAGGAGACGTGCACAAAAGCTTTTGATTTCTTCTTCAACAACTTTAATTAGACCGCAAACCTGAAGGACTATTATGTTGATAGGTATAAAAGAACAGACCCTAACTGCTTGTGCTACATCTTGTCTTAGTATTACATCCACAGTTTCTTCTAATTTTGTCATTTCTAGAGTAAAGTATTTTGTATTTGTCTGATTAAAATTCCATTTTCAGTTAACTCCAGCAGTGCAATGTTCAAATGTTAATTTTTTGGTTTATGGTTCAATAGAGTTTACCCCAGCTAAATGTATATAGCAGGGATAGGCTATCTAGCGTACTCCAGATGTTGTTGACTCTTATCAATCCTCATTATTAGTTATACTAGCCAAGGATAACCAAAGTTGCAATCTGGCAAAAAATGGAGGGCCACAACCTGTACTCTGCTGGTAATACAGAGATATAACAATCTTTTACACCAGCCATTCGCAGCCTTTTTGGGCCACATCCTTAAAAAAAAAATGAAAGAAATATAGGCTGAATCAGAATGGTATAAATTGCGCAAGGAACCTTATAAAGTGGTGTGTGAAGAAACGTTTCCAGTCTGTGACTCCCTTGAAATGTGCCAGGGCCCCTCCAGGGGGCCATATGGCCCCTGTTGAGAATGGCTGTTCTACAACATCTAGAACAGACCTGGGCAAAGTGCGGCCCTCCAGATGTTCCTGAACTGCAAATCCCAACATTCCTCACTGTGTGGGCTAGGCCCAAATCTCCTCACTATTGGCTGTGTGGGCTACGAATTATGGGAGTTGCAGTTCAGCAACATCTGGAGGGCCGCAATTTGCCCACCCCTGATCTAGGAGGAAGACTTCCTGAACTCAGTGGCAGCAGGTATCCAAGTAGGCAATGCACATAATTTGAGCCATTAATTAAATGTGCATGGGTGATACTTGCAACATCACTAGATGAGCCAGGAGTTTTTTATTTTACAGGCTTGCTTATTTTCATCTTGCAATTTCAGGTCTTATACGCAATTTCAGGTCTTATACTATGTAAGCTGCATTGTGCAACAATATTTCTGGTTGAAATTTAAATAAATCAATATTTCTGGTTGAAATTTAAATAAATCAGAATACAGCGAAAGTGAGAGAGATCACTTCAAAATGGACAAACAGAAGGATCTTTCTTTCTTTTAAGGAGTCCTTTCTTTCCTAAAGTCTGAGACTTGATACTGCATATGCCCAGAGACTTTTGGGTAGTGTGGGCGGCATGTAAGTTAAATAAATAAATAAAATAAATAAGTAAATCTTCTGTTTTTGCATGTTTAGTACCCTGAGAGCCAGGGAGGAACCTTACCCAGGCAAAAGCCCCGATTTTCACCCTGCAGTTTGTCTACATCAGCAAATTACGTAAATGACGTAGAATGGACTGGCACAAGGAGAGGCAGAGGGTGCTTGTGGGAATGGAATGCAAACTAATCTTATTTTATCCATGTTTTCAAGGAAAAGAGAACACCCCTTTTCTGCCCTTCAGCTCATTTGTCATTTTAAGATTCAAAGGTGCAGATGGAGTTGATATGGGCAGGTGCCTGTCTATATTGTTAGTCCAACAGTCCTCACAGAAGTACAGTCTTTGAAGGGCATCTTTCCAATCTGGCATCCACCAGGTGTGCTGGAATACAAACCCCATCATCCCTTAAGGGAATTGCAGTCAAATATATTCTGAGAGCTCTGGACTAGGAAAGTCTGCATTAGGGCAAACTGAGCAAAATGGCCAAACACAAGCAGCCTGGATGCCCAACTTTACCTGCTCACATCCCTCCCACCTCCACTCTATCCCATTGATTCAGAAGACCAACAAGAAGTACCTGACTCTGGGATGTGTTGCTGACTCCCCACACAGTGGTTACCACTGAGAGAGATCCTGCAGGCTGATTGGTATTCTGTTGCCAAGGAACTGACTCGTAGGCATATGAACCATCACTAGGAGAACAGAAACAAAAAAACAAGAACATTACATAGCAATTTAATTAGCTGTCTTTGAGGAAGTGACAGGAAAGCTGTGTAAGACAAACAGGCAGGAATATCCATGGACAGACAAAAGAAAGAAGTGGGTGAGTGATCCAAACCGAGCAAGAAATCTTAGGTTGATCCTTACCTAAGAGGGAGGGAAGAGTGAATTCACATGTCCTTGTTGATTGCCCCGTGGCTACCATTCCAAAAACTATTCACCACGATACTTAAATGAAAAACCTCTGTGTTCACCAAAGTGGATCCCTAAAGTCCCATTGCTAGGGGGTAAAATTGGAGAGAGGCCTGTTGTTTTCATGCCCTACTTTTTGTAGGCTTCTTACAAACAACTTTCTTGAAACATGATGTTGGGACTTAGATCTGCCTTCAGTTGAACCAGCAGGACTCTTATTTCGTTCTCTCCCTCACCCAACACTTTGCCTTCTCAACTCCCATCTTCCTGAGAAAGTGCAGCACAGTCCAACACATAGAAAGGTCACCAGTTGAGTGGGGAAAGCTGTTCTGAAAAAACTACTTCCACATGCTCAAATCACAGACTGACAACTGCAAGCAGTACCCTCCAATTAACTCAACACATTATATTTTGTTGAGTTAATTGTGCTGTGAAAGTCCTCCTCCAGAGATTGGAAAGCTTCTGGGGCTATGTCTCAATTTTCCAAGTTCTGCCTTCCCACCACCATCACAGTAAGGGTCATATGGCTTTGGAGATTTTACAGGAACAAAAAAAGCTACGTTCTACTAAGCCAGACCACTGAATTATACAGGATAGCCCTGTCAACCTGACTGGCAGCTGCTCTCCAGAGTTCCAGGAAGGATTTTTTCCTAAGCCTTCTCTGAAGATCTCTGGTGTTCCCTGGTGGTTCTCTCACCCAAGTGGCAACCAGTCCCAACAGTGCTTAGCTCCTGAAATCTCATGAGATCAATGTGTTCAGAATGGCACCATGGTTCATGAAGCATGAAGAACAGAGGATGCTGCCTTATGCAACTGGGTCAGACTAGATAGTTTAGCCCAGTACTATCTATTCTGACTGACAGCATGTCTCATTGCCTCAGGAAGAAGACTCTTCATCCTGATCTTTTTCAACTGGAGACACCGGGGATTAGAATCAGAGATTCTCTCTTTGATTCTCTCCTACCACTGTGTTATATTGTGAATCTACTGTGTGCTCATTTGCAAGCCCCTTTGTAAGCATGAGGACTAGAAATTTTATAATAAAACTGGTTGTATCAGGAAACTGATTTATCTGCCAACACCTCAAAATTCTTATACCAAAGTGCAAAATAAACCCAGCCCAATCTACTTCCAATGGTTAAAAGAGAAAGAGAGAGGTGAGTGGAAAAATATACATAATGTACAGAGAAATCCCAGAAAGTATAGGGACGCTCAACCATACTCACCCATGTGGGGTGGGTGGGAGCGATGATTTCATTGGGTTCATTGAGTTCATTGGCTACAGAAAGGTGAAAGGGTTGGGTGTGGGATCTTTCAAGGCAACCCAGTAAAAGCAGCAGTTGTAGCCTCTTGAATGTCCCAGCTCCAGTTCGGCTAGAGAAAAGCAACCAGAAAGCAAGCTATTAAAAATCCAACTCATAACATTCACCATGTTGGCTGCAGGGAACAACTGGTACAATGCTAGTGCCAAGCAATTTTCTTACCATACAAATATCATAGGAACACAGGAAGCCGGTTTATACTGGCTCATACTATTTGTCTAGTTTTCTTTTTCTTTTTTCTTTCTTTTTCTTTCTTTATTTCTCTTGTTAAAATAACATTCTAACTTTCTCTCAGCGCAGAGACCCAAAGTAGCTTACTAAAACTACTTAGAAAACAATATAATAGTTGCATTATTAACATGTGATTAAACATACAACCATAACAAGAGGCCACTGGTTTAAAACAATTTAAAAAGGTTTCCAAAATAACCAAACACACAAACCAGTATACCCCATAAAAAGCTCCTTTATCCACAGCCCATTCAGTTGCCAAAACCTTGCCTCAACAAAAAGGTATTTGCCTGCTAGTAAAAGAACAACAGGGAAGGGACCAATCTAGCTTCTCACACTCTCGTATTGTCACCAGATATGCCTAGGACAATCAAACCATGAAAAGTCCTCCCTGGTGACACATATGGAGGAAAGTGATTCTTCAGATACCCTGGACCCAAATTATATAGGGCTTCATAAGTCATAAACAGAACTTTCAAATGAGCTCAGAAACCAATCAATAGGAGGTGAAGCTGTACATCTATCTTTTCTGGATTAAGCTTCAATTTATTCAACATCATTCAGTCCATTATTAACATCTGAAAGTGGTTCAGAAACAACACTTCATGTTAGATGAAAAGGAGGGGTAAAGTGTTGTTAGCATACTGATAGCACCAAATACAAAACCTCTGGATAACTCTCCCAGCACTTTTTGTATGTATGTTAAACTGTCTTCCTCAACCTGGTGCCCTTCAGCTGAGCTAGACTGAGCTGGGTTTGAATACTAATATAGGCGAAAAAATTGTCCATGTAACCAGCAGCTGCTTACAAATGTTTGAAGGGGAGGATTTGCTGAGCACCTGTTATTTTAACTTGAGAATGAAGTTGGGAATTCCTATATGCATAGTCTGAGCTTTTCCAACAAGCTACAGTATTTTTCCCACCTGGATGGGAGAAAATAGCCTAGCATTAGAGGCCAGTGGTGAGACTTTTGCACGGCTGTGGACTTTGGAGTGAGAGCTGGACCATAAAGAAGGCTGATCGCCGAAGAACTGATGCTTTTGAATTGTGGTGCTGGAGGAGACTCTTGAGAGTCCCCTGGACTGCAAGGAGAACAAACCTATCCACTCTGAAGGAAATCAACTCTGAGTGCTCACTGGAAGGACAGATCCTGAAGCTGAGGTTCCAATACTTTGGTCATCTCATGAGAAGAGAAGACTCCTTGGAAAAGACCCTGATATTGGCAAAGTGTGAAGGCAAGAGGAGAAGGGAGGCAGTGGAAGACAGGAGGGCCTGGCGTGCTCTGGTCCATGGGGTCATGAAGAGTCAGACATGACTTAACAACAACAACAACAACAACAACAACAACAACAACAACAACAACAACAACAACAACAACAACAACAACAACAACAACAGCTAGACAATGTGTTGTCTCAGGCATGCAGGGCTAATCTGACTCCAAAATGAACTTATGAAGTTTCCCAAAGACATGCCCTTCTCAGGGAAAAAAAAAGAGGGCAGAGGCTTCAACTTCCAATTGTGGCTCAGTTCAGTCCTGAAAGTACTGGCTGAGAGGATTTTACTGTTGCTGTTGCTCCTGGCATATCCAAATGAGCCATTTGGCTCAAATTACAAAACTGGAGCTTATAGTAAGCAAGCCATATTGTCTGAACATTAAGCTATCACTGAGAAAAGGGGGAAGCAAAACTTGAGGCTAGCAGAGGTCTAACAACAACAACAACACAACAAGTGGCATCCTTGGTTCTATCAGAAAACAATGGAATATTTAAAGCTAAAGCTGGCTGTCCTTAAACACTAACTCACTGATGGATAACTGAAGACTTCAGTACAAAATATATTACAGTATATACTGAACAGAGACTTACAAATGTCCATTAGACCAGGGGTTCCCAGTCCCCGGTCCGCAACCTGGCAGTGGTCCATGGCCTCAGCAAGACTGGGCCACGGACACAGATCTCTTGCCACCCCACAAGCACATCGCACACATGTGCACGAGCGCAACATGCCCCACACATGAGCACGAGTGGAACACACTCCCTGTGAGTGCGACACACCGCCTGCACATGCATGCGAGCATGACATGCCCCCTCATGAGCGCAACATCCCCCTGAGTGAGCATGCCACGACCCCCCAACTGGTCTGCGGTTGGAAAAAGGTTGGGGACCACTGCGATTAGACAGCATCAAATCTGTGAATAATACATTAGTAAGCTCAGACAACATCTAAAAGGGCAACGTACAATCCAGAGGGATGGTCAACTTGTGTACATCTGCACACTAGCAGCCACTCTGAGGGTCTTCTAGCTTTTCACTAGTCTGAGTAGGGATTGTGCGGCACACCAGTAAAAATTGTCTCTTCACTCTCCATTCACCACATCCACTATTGGGTCCTTTATGCCAGTGGTCCCCAACCTTTTTGCCTCCACCAACTGGTTTAAGGTTGGGGGGGGGTCTGTGGGTGGGTGGGAGGAGCTATGCATGCATGGGAGGGGCGTGCATGCATCTGTGTGTGTGTGTGGGGGGAGATTTGTCTCTGTGGCCTGATCCTGCCAGGGCCACGGACTGGGACTGGTCTGCAGATCGGGAGTCGGGGACCCCTGCTTTATGCCACTTGCACAGTGGCAGAAGCAATGTGTACCTTTATAATGATAAAGCTTCTATTATTTATTTTACTTTATCCTTCCCTTATTTTAAGGAAGTCAGATGCTATACATCCTTCTCTTCCTCTCACCAACACTTTATCCTCACAACAACCTTCTGAAGTTAAGGGGAGGGGAAGGGAGAAAGACAGAGCTATGTTGAAAATCATACCACCTGAATGAAGATGGATTGCTGAATTTCCCCTGTTCTGGTCCAATACTGTTTATCAAAACCCCACAGTGTCACTCATGTGGGTAAACTGTTCTGTCCAAAGTAAAGACAGCTATATCAGTGGAGCTTTACCTAGTTCTTTTCATACACTCCAAAACAAACAAACAAACAAAACTCCAACAAAGAAGAGTGTAAGTGGGAGTTCCAATTTCTACCACTACAAGGATGATGTGATGGGCACCAACTTGGATGGCTCTAAATTAGCATTCGCAGGAGCCCAACTTCTTATCAGAAACTGGTAACATTTTTGGACATCTCTAAACTTGCCATGGCCACGGTATCAAAGGCAACCGACAGACATAATACAATGGGCGCTCTTGAACCAATCACTCACTCTTCCAGTTCCATCTACTTTACACGGTTGTTGTGAGGATAAGGTTGGAGAAGAGCCAAATTTCTGTTTGTCTCATGGGAGGAAAAACTAGATGCTGATGTAATTAATAAACAGATAGACCTTTATAAGGCCCAGACATCCCTGCTAGTCTGTCCTCATATGCCCTCTTCTCCTCCAAAGCTGTTAAGGCCAGCAGTGGGTGGAGGATGCACCACTACCTCGCTTTTATTCCAGACCAGAAATAACCCCGTGCCCACCTACTCTCCTCTGGCCACGAGTTTCAGTGTCTGCGACCCACCGGCAACTGCCAGAGGAACAACCTAGCTCGACACCGTCGTCACCTCTCCTATCCCTCATGACATGTTGTTTTTCCCCTCCTCCAGCTCCTTCTCAACCGTCCCAGTTTTTCCTAAGGGGAAGTGGTCACATTTGTTCAGCAGAGGCTTTCTGCTCTGACGACGTCAACTTTCTACAGCGGCCAGAAGGAACTTGGCGTTCTGCCCAGATCTGGCAAAACAAGGTCCTGGCAGGCACAGGCTGCAGGGCTGGCCTAGTAACACCAGATTAACTCTCTGCTGCCCACAGCATCTACAAAAAGGCAAAACTCAAGAGCTGACTGACACCCACCCACCCACATGCCATGCCATCTAGTCACGCACTGCTTCCATCCTGCATGTTTTAACCATCCAACATAGGCCTTGTTACTCAGGAAATGGAACTGAGGGGTGGAGATGTGTGTCACAGTTTTACTCAAGAAATGCAATGTGGCTCATTTTGTAAAAGGTCAGCAGCTACCGTTTAGCACATGTTGCCCTATGGCTGTTCGGAGAGAGCCCAGGTTTCCAATTTTTCTCAGCTTGTAGCTCTTTTGAGCAGTGGCAGCAGTGGCGGAGTAGGAGGATGAGCATGGGGTGGACATGGAGGTGAAGGAGCACAAAGAAGCTGAAGCCAGGAGGAGCAGCAGCTCAGCAAAGAGGCCAAGGATTCTGCAGCGCCCCTGGCTGGGTTTCGTGGTGCCCTTGGTAGGGCGATTCAAGGCTCTGGTGGGCCCTGAGCAAAAAATATACTAGTGGGAGCCCCACTTCCTCCCCCTCCCTCTCCCTCACCTCCCACCTAAATAGGTCACACAACAGGGACAATGTAATATAGCTAGAGATGGGGATATTTGTAAATGAATATGAATATCCCCACCTCTAAATAAAACATAAATAAGACTGACTCGCTAAGCTAATCCTCGTAGCAGCAAATAAATGCTTGGGTAAACAAGCAAACAACGTAATGAAAAGAAAGTCTAGCATACGAGGGAGGGGCAAGGCAAGGCAAGCTTAAAGCTGAAATTTGAAGCACTCTGCACATGCCCAGAGAAGAGGAATACTTGTATACATCGTGTGCAAAACATGCCGAGGTTGCTCTGTTCCAGAGCAGGTCCCATGTGGAAGGGAAGGAAGGGAAGTTGTGTGAGACTGCAGGACACTGGGCTCAAGTGTGGGAGGAGGCAGAGGGCTGTGGACTCTTGGAAGAAAGAGCTGCCGCCACCCAACTGAGGGTGTTGGCAGGAAGAGTGCCTCTGAGCCTAAGCAGAGTGTCCCATGTGTCCTGGCTGGCCTCACTCCCCCACTTCATCACCTGACCTCTGTTGGGAGAGACAGGTCTTGCCAAGCCGCTTGAGCTCCAGGACACTGTTGGGCCGGCCAGGGGAAATGATGGCTGTGTGCACATCCAGGGACGCGGCACCCTCGGGGGCCCAGAAGACATCCTGGAGCAGGTCCTCGAGGTGCAGGAAGCCGCCTTTCTCTTTGTTAGGCAGTGGTGCCCAGCAGCATCTGCCTCAGGCATGCCATGCTATTGTGCCATTTATTTATTTTATTTATTTATTTTATTTATATCCCGCCTATCTAGTCAACTCAGGACCACTCTAGGCGGCTAGACACTGGCCTGCACAGGAAGATCCGCCACCCTGTCGGCACCCATAGCAGCCCAGTGTCATGGCACGATCGGGCCTCTGGGGGAGCAGAGAGGGGACAGAGGAGGGTGGCATGCCTGCTGGAGGGTCCCACAGCTCCTCCCTGGGCGTGGTACCTGTGCCGTCATGGGCAGGACGTGGAGCACAAAGGAGCTGAGTACCATCTGCCTGCTGTCTAGCCCCCACAGTTCACCAGCCAGGAGCACTGCACCCCAGGTCAGCCTAACCCTCACAGCCCCAACAGCTCCTGCCTGGCTGCTCCTTTTCATGTGAGACCCTGCAGAGAGTGGGCCCTGGGCGAATGCCCACTTTGTCCTGTGAATAAAGCAGGTGCCGCAGTGCACACTTTGGGAACCCTTGGTCTAAGCAGCACATGTGGGACACCAGATGGAATGTTCGTGTTCCATTCCTGCCATTTCTATTTAAAAGATTCTGTTTTGCTCTCCATCAGTCTTTCAGAGCAGATAATATCAGACTGGGTGGGCTAATGGTCTCATTCAGTAAATGTTTTGTATCTGGTAACAGTCATCATCTGCTTGCACAAATCTAGCTGCAATTCCCTGTCCTTACCATCTTGTGAGGGGTGGTTGTAGTTAACCTCATAGTCAAGAGAGAGAAAAAAATACTGAACATGCTGAGAAGCCCTGTTATGCATATTACTTCACATAAGTTTATTACTTCACACAAACCCTTTTCATACATCTCTTCAAATGATTATCATCAACTAAGGGGAAGGCTGCATTTGCTAGCCCTACCTCTCCATCACACCCCTGCCACCCTTTGCATGTCTGGTGTGGAACCTCTGAAGTAGGTGGGAATATTGCTCAGAGCACAGAGGGAGCCTCAGCTATTTAGTATCCGTATTGCCAAAAGGATTATAGACCCATGGTTCTGAATTTCTGGCCCTCCATACGTTTGGACATCAGCTCCCAAAATCACTGGCTACGGGCAATACTGGCTGGAGCTTCTACAGCTGAGTCCAAACAGCCAGAAGGTCAGAGATTGAGTTCTAAATCACTGTGAGGTTGGGGCAGGGACCCAAGAGAGGGTGCGGGCTGTCACAAATGCAACTCTGCTTGTACCCACTCCCAATGTTAATCTTGTGAGAAAACAGTAGGAGAATAAGGCTATTTACTCTGGGTTTAACTATGGCACTGAAAACGAGTTTTGGGATTGAGACCAAACATGAGACAAGATAAACTGGTTGGACAGCTGAAAAAAAAAACAGCTCAATGCTGAGCTGAAATGGCGAACGTGGTTTTGGAAAATAACTCCCAGAATAATAAAGATAGAACAGGCACTGGCCAGACTGGCTCTGGGATTCTGGGACCGAAGTCAAAAAAGTAACTTTCCTCATTTTTGGGGCTGAATTTGTGTCATGCCACCACAGGATCTAAGTTGAAGGCAAACTACTAAGTATATGCTACTTACCAGCAGTGCTGGTAAGAAGCTAGTCAACATACGATTACATCCAATACAATGTTTTGGGAGCTTCAGGTTTTGGGAGTTCTTGCATTAATACTCTCAATGGACAATGTTCGCTGAGGGCACTCACTGTTCTAGTCAATGCCTATTCACTTAGCCCTCCCTCCAGGTCCAAATCACGTTATCTTCCCAGACAAGGAAAATTAAAAAAGAGAGAGACAGAGAGAGAGAGAGATTGGGAGAGAGATTGGGAGAGAAGAAATTGGAGAAGTTACTTTTTGGAATTCACCTGCTAGAATCCTCCAGTCACCTTTTTCAGAGTGATCCAAAAAAGTAATGAAGCTCTGAAAAAATAAAGGAGGATAAGATGTGCATTCCTCTCATTCCTGGCTTGAAGAAGCAGATGAACAGGCAGCGACATTCAAAAGGGATAGCTGCAGGGCCAGGAAGCTCCAGGGATTGTCAGAAGGGGCATTATTGAGGCAGGGGCCTCGGCAGATGCCCTGGCATGCCAAACAATAGATCCTGTCTTGGTAAGCTTAATCCCATCCCTATAGATCACTGCTAAAGTCTTCACTCCCCAAATGAGGGAAGACAGCATCCAATAACTAGCTGATTCCTGTGAGGCAAGCCACACAGGAAAGCTGTAGCAGAGCTGCAGACTCCATTCCAGTAAGCATACCAGACTAGCTCTGGTTTCCTCCCTCTATCTACCTGTGGGTCCTAGTTGTGTGAATGTGCTGTTTCACTGCTGAGTGAGGTAAGAGAAGGCAAGGGCTACTCTGACAAGGTTGTTTTGATCTATTTTGGACGGGCACAGGGCAGGGGGAGAAAAGGAAAGCCTGAACAAGCCAAGTGGCCTCTGGCAAGGAACGGGTCCTGATAGCGTATTCCCCACCACCACTTCCAAACTTATTCAGGCAATGGGAGTAAAGAGGAGTTATGCCACAGCTAAAATCTGACCTTGCCCAGGTGGGTTCACCAACAGGAACCAACCAAAAGTGTTGCAACTTCGTCCACTCCAAACATGCAAGTTTTTGTAACTGAAGTACTGATGTTCCAGTGTTTTCTGAGTAAGCTCAGGGGCAGTTTCCACCTACAAAGCAGGCTGGATGGACATTCCATTCCACCATTTGCTGGGTGGAAAAGGAGGCAATGGAATTCAAGTTGGGGAAAAAGGAGAGAAGGGCTGGGAACAGCCTCGAGTCAGTCTCCAAATCTGCCCATGCATCTGGGGATACAGAGGAGAGGGCCTGCAAGTTAACCTCTCTCCTGACATCCAGAAGGGGAGCAAAACCCCTTTTTGGTTTCTTTCTGATACACCTGATAATTGCTGATATTAAACCAGTTGAGTTGGCAACTCTGCTCCCAACCAGACTTGGAGTTTGTTTGGTGTTTTAATTGTGATGCTTTAATTGGATGTTTTTAATGGCTTTAGATTGACTTGATTGCTATTAGATGTGAGCTGTCTTGATCAAGAAAGCAGTATAGAAATTTACAGATGGCTTTAAGAGTTCTGTGGCAAGATGTTAAAGTAGTCGGGAAGGGGGGAATGAATGTGAAACAGGTTCGTTTTCTACATTCAGAGCAACTGTGGACATTTTTAAAATGGATATGGGGTGCCCAAGTGCAGCCCCTCAGATGCTTTTGGATTGCAATTTCCAGCATTGCCCTTCATCAGATATGCTGGCTAGGGAATTTTCTCTTCTGGCATGCCATGGAAGAAAAAGCCCCACATCCATTCTCTGCTGATCTGTGGCATGATGTGGGTGAAAACTATGCTGTCTTGGTAGGCTGGGATTTGAGGGCAGTCTTAATTCTAGGATCAGAAAATCTCGAAACAACTGACCAGGATCAGTTCTAGGATTAGGAAAACTCCCATTGCTGCACAAAGAAGCAGCAACAGGAAAATAATATCTAGTATTGCCTACACACACTGGTGCGCAAGGAGGACTGCACTGCATCTTGCCCCTGCCCAGTAGCACGAGAAGTGGGGGAGATGGTACTGAAGGTATGACAAGACATTTGGTACCCAAGAGGGCAGAGAGAAAATATCAGTGCAGAACTCTTTGACATCCTGTTCTTGCCGTTGTCATCAAAATGGCTTGGGCGAACCCATGTTTCTGAGATACCACGTTCTCCATTTCAGCTCAGCATTGAGCTGTTTTTCTTTCAGCTGTCCAACCAGTTTATCTTGTCTCATGTTTGGTCTCAATCCCAAAACTCGTTTTCAGTGCCATAGTTAAACCCCAGAGTAAATAGCCTTATTCTCCTACTGTTTTCTCCCAAGATTAACAACTGGGAGAGGGTACAAGCAGAGTTGCATTTGTGACAGCCTGTGGTTTTGGAAAAGAACTCCCAGAATAGTAAAGATAGAACAGGCACTGGCCAGACTGGCTCTGGGATTCTGGGACCTGAAGTCTAAAAAGTAACTTTCCTCATATTTGGGGCTGAGTTCGTGCCACGCCATCACAGGATCTAAGTTGAAGGTGAACTACTAAGTACATATGTCTGAGATATCTTGCAGGTATAATGAAAAGTATCTCTGCTATTAGACTTGGAAAATCTACATGCTTGCCTTGTGTTTCCCACTCACCTGCTTCCTTGAGGCTAGTTTCAGTCTTCTGCCACCTAAGCAGAGCTGCCTGTTAGTTTTTTTTAAAGTAACTCCTGCTTTTTATTCTGCAGTTGAACTGGCAGACACTTCCCAGATGATAACACTCAGTTCCTTGCTATGAAAACCTTTAGCTGCCAGTAAAGAAAAAATATTACACAAAGAGACACATGCAGGCAAAATCAAGTCAGTTGGCAACCTTATCTTCATCATGATGGCAAAAGGTGCAGAAAAGGGCAATCAAAATGATAAAGGCGCTGAAACACATGCCTTACAACAACAATTCATGGAAGTCCCCCTTGTACACTCCAGATGTTTCTCTTCTAAAACCCATCATTTCTACACTTAGCCGCACTGGATGGGGCTGATGAAAGCTGTAGTCCAAAACTTTTGGAAGGCTCCTGGTTGTCTTTCCCTGCATTAGGCCTTATGTGTCAGAAGAGTCAGCATATATCCACTACAGCAGTGGTTCTTCCCCCCCCCCTCATGACTTGCAACTTGGATCTCACCCACCCCTCCGTTTTTTCTGGGGGGAAAAGCTTATTTTTAATAGGGACTTGAACTTGGGACTCGGGACTTGGTACCAAAAACATGGGACTTAGTACCAAAATCAGAATTGGAAATCAGACTCAAAGACTTGACAACATCCCTGCTGTTTAATTTGACCATTGCAAATAGCGTGTGGTGGTGGGATTGTTCCAGTGAGTTTCTGAAGTACTCACTAAAGAATCTGAGGTTGTAAAAAGCTGAATGCAAGAGAAACAAAACTGACAGTTGAACATGAGAGTTCTCCATAACACCAATGGGACAGCAGATCACTTTTAGAGGATGCAGACCCAACTGCATGGCACATACAGTTCTGTCTTCCAGGAGAGAGGAACAGGCAGGGCTAACAGGAGAGCTGGCTTGGGGAATTCACTACTTTTCACATTCTCCAAGATCTGCCACTTCAGGTGGCTACCTCATTCTGCTCAATGGAAGGATCATCTCTGCCCCTCAGATAAAATGAGTAGGCCTTCCAAACCTTATTACAAGATAGTTGAAGCAGCAGGCCCCTGTTAATGCAACTAATAAAATTCTCTTTTTCTTTGAGATTGGATGAGTATAGAGAGTAGGGGGGCAGAGTTAAGAGAAAGTTAATTAGGGGACAGATATATCTGAAGTCCAAAGTATAACATGGCCATTCATAACCTACCTCTAGTAACTCTGTTCCATTCTTTCCATTTAATTTGATTATATAAAGTTTCATTTGTTTTTGGTTTTCAGCTCTCCAGGTGGAACTGGAGTTCCTTTGAAGAAGGGGTAAGATTTTACCAGAAAAACAGCCAATATTGACAGAAATGAGAATGCTGGTTCTGAATACCTGAACAATCCTCTTATATTGGCATGGTAGAATATTGTGCCCCTAGTACAATGAGGACACACTGAGGACCAGAGACAGAATTTGAGGACCAGAATTGAATTTCTTCTTTTATTTGACTGAAGCTGCCGGGCTTGAGTAGGAAAAGTGCCTGGGGCAAGTACTTCAGGATTTCAATCAATGTACCATTAACAACAAAAATCTTGTTGAGCCTTAAAGTATAAAAAAAATTCTTGTGACATTAAGTTTCACTCATGGTCTATAGCAAGTGTGATGTACATGTGATGCTATCTGAGGCAAAAGGCAAGATAGTGCCCCCATCACCCACTCTTTATATAGAATCTAATTGTACTACACATCCACACAGCTTTCTCCATCATTTGGAGGCAATAAGCTAGTTTATGAAAAACAGGATAAATGGTAAGAAGTTGCAGATCTATGGGCAGTATCTTCCATCTGAAGTGCTTGCCTCATTCTGTCACTGATAGAGTCAAACTTAATGTGTAAACAGGAAAGGAGAGCCATAGCCATCTCTCCTGTATGATTTATAGTAGACTGGCAAGGGTTTGTGATGCCTAACTTGTTAACAGTGGCAATAAAAGGCTCCCCACACCCCTTAAAAATAGATTATTAGACGTAGCAACCTAGATATAGATTCATGCTTGTATATGCAAGCCTTCCCAAACGCATAAGAGCTGACTCCACCTTCCTTTTTCACACCTGCAAGGTGGGTACCACTTGCAAATCCGGTTATTGTATCTCCCCCAAAAATCCTAACTGCACAGTCCCAGGACATGTGCAAAAAAAGGGAATGGTAAACCATTTCTGTGTATTCTTTACCTGGACAACTCTGGAAAGAGTCACTGTAGGTCAGAATTGACTTGATGATACATCATTGTCATCATCATCATCATCATTATCAATAACAACAACAACAACAACAACACCAGGCACAGTCAATCAAAATTATAAAAATACTGACTGGTATTATTGTTTTAAGCCACCCAGAGACCTTTGGGTAGAGTGGGTGGCATATAAGGTAGGTAGGTAAGTAAGTAAGTAAGTAAGTAAGTAAGTAAGTAAGTACGTACGTACGTACGTACGTATGTACATACAAGTTTTAACCTAAAACCTAAGTATCTGTTAAATATCGGCACAGTATGTACACTGTTCCTAATACATCCATTTTTGTCGCTCTGATGATATTATTTCTGAAAATTGCAACTTATTATTATTTATAGAGAGGGAGAGAGAACAGACAGTTGTCAGAGGTAACTGGCAAAGCATGTATGGCAGAAAGATGGACTCTGGCTTTTCTTGCGGACCTTAAGTAGTAGGATAACCAGAGTTCACGCAGGAAGCATCTTTTCCTCTTTCTCTGTATGTACAGAATGCAGAGTGAGGAAAAGAGAGGGTGGAAGGAAAAATGTGCCTCTGCTGGCTCCAGACTTCAATGCGGTGGGGGCGGTGGGGGGGGAGCGAGCAGGCAGACTGACATGCAAGATCTGGTGAGGGGCGGTGAACGTCCTCTCTTGCAAGCCAGTCGCCCTACAGAGAGAGGGCGGGGCAGGTCTCTGCAGCAACGGCGGCGACACCGACACCGACACCCTGCCCTGCCTTGCCCTGCTCTCCCCCTCCCCGCCCCAGCATCAGGCGGACTCTGGAACAGCACGTCCTGCTCGCTCAGCCCAGCCTCCTCCAGCTGCACGGAGCCCGCCACTCAGGCAGGCAGGCAGGCAGGCAGGGAGGCCACCAGGAAGCGGCGGCGGCCCTCTTCCCGCTCCCCTCCCCCCCCCAAAAGTGCAACAGTGAACAAGGCGGCAAGAGTTGGAGCGGGCCGAGCAGGGCGGGAGACTCGTCCCTGGAGGAGAACCCCGCTTGCCTCTCCCTGACCCCTACATTCCAGGAAAAAAAAGAGAGAGGAGGAGACAGGCAGGCAGACACTTCAAATTAGAGCAACCTCGGAGAGAAAGGAGAGAGAGCTTCCTAGATCATCTTCCTGGCCAGTCCTGGGTTTCCCTACTCGTTTTTTTTTTTTTTTTTAAATCCCACTGAAGGGGAAATTAATCCTTTGTGCATTCATGCTGACTGCAGAGGAATAAAAGGTCCTTCTCCATGTCCAGCAAGTAAATGTGGGCTACGGACGTCTTATCCAGCTCTGTTAAACATCAAAAGGCTTTATATCAAGTGGGCTGGTGCAGGCAGCAGAAACTACTACCCCCCTTTTTTTGGCCAGCCCATTTACTCACCTGTACAGAACTCCTGGTTGCTTCTGGTAATCAACAGTGTTATCAAATACAAAGAGAGAAATTTTCTTTCCTTGACTTAATATCATTTTGTGAAGCAATACCAGTGGTCAAAGCATAGATTATTTACATACAAAACATGGTCTTGCCAATAGCTATACAACAGAAAGGATTTTTGCTTCTTTCAGGAGGTGCATTTGTTTCTCAGCCCTGCATGACCAATCTCCAGTTGTCAAAATTCCTTCTACTGCATAATTATTAAAACTGCTGGGTCCCGCCCAATCAGCTGTTTAGGTAATCCACTCTGTGTTAGGGTGCAACTACATCGGAAAGTTGAATTGGAACAATTTAGCTTTGCATCAATTTTATTCTGAGTCTCTTCTGGTTTAGGTGATCACATGAAGCCCCCAGGTTGTTTTGGTGCTGGGCCTTCAATCGAATATAGCCCGATCCATTTCCACAGCTCCCCTTCCTTTATTATGCCCTCCTGCCAATCCCTGACTCTCCTTTTATGTCCACTGTCAAGCTACTGGGAATGTTTAAAGGACTACATTGCAGCTGGGGGAAATGGCCAGTTTTACATACACATACAAACATGTACATATACAATGGAAACATTGTAGTCTGCTGGAGTTCCTTAAGAGTTCTTCCAATTTTAATCTTTTTTCTCTCTGTCTGTAGGTGATCTAGTGCCAAACTAATGTAGCTATACGGTGACACAGTGTAGTGCTAGATCCAATATTTGGTTTTTAAAAAATACTTCGGGGTAACTAGGGAGAAAGATTGCAGTGAGCTTTATATCATGTGATCATTGAAAAATACTTCAAATTCACCCAGGCCAATACTGTAGCAAACTGCAGAAATACTTTCCAATGTAGTCACATGCTTAGTTTATCTGCAATCTCTGGCAATCATAAGCAAGCTGTTAACTTCTCTACATAGGCAATTAATAATTTTTGGTACTATAATCATATTTATATGCATATTTATTCTGAAATTTCCCACAATGTTTTTGCCCTATGTTTTTTTCCTAAGTAAATTATTAAATAATTAATTGAACAGAATTTAGAACCTGATGCTGTACATATAACATACGAAGTTGTTACATTACTACTATCTGGAAACCTACAAGACTGCCTTTTATTTTATATTTTGAAGTCATAATTTTGCCACAAGAATGTAGTATGGAGAAAGAAAAGAGCTCTACTACCACTTACAATAGCTTCCCTTGAAAACCACACTAGCTGAAAATAAGCAACCTTACTCTATATGAGTTATTGACTTCCAAAGTGCCCTATCATTAAGAGCTCTGCTCAGATCTTCTAAACCAAAAGCATTTCAGATTAGGTTGTTCCCTCTTCCTACTGTCCTCCTCCCCAGCAATGTTGCCTTTTCAATGAAGTTCTGCTTAGATCTTGCATACTGACAGCTGTAGCTTCCGTTATTGAATCAAACCATCTCATGTTACATCTCCCTCTATTTAAAATGGAGAATAATATTCAGAAGCTCACTCAAACTTCTGAATTAA